AGAACAGTCGCAAGGTTGGTGAAGATGCCAGTCGTGTGGCACGTGAGGCTGCCGAAGCCGAACGCAAACAAAAAGAAGCCCACGATCTCCTTGAGAGCCGAAAGACTCTCTTCCCTGCCTGGACCAGGGAACGCTTAATCAAAGAGGCCATTGAAACTCCCAGCATCTTATGGCTCGATCCGGTTATATCGTTCGACTGCAGCAACACTGTCGATTCGCAGTTCGATATGCCGCTGACTCGAAAGGCGTTCATCTTCCACGTCTTCTCTAACATCTTTGAAGTCCCTCACCCGAACGCTGAGCTTGACAGGGAGCTCATTGACTTCTATCTGGCGGCTGCTCGTCCACAATTCCTTACATGGAGCGCCCAGAAGATTGTAAACGTTCGGGTGCTAAAACCTTATACTGAGGGATGTTTTATAAACGTTCGGTTCAAATTGATTCGGGGATCTACAAAAACTGCTCATCTTATCTCCCTGGCAGATCTACCGAATATAAATCCTCATGATTGGATCGTCTTGTATAATATCCTTTTGACTAATGAAGCTGAATATGGTCCCATTCTAGACCATGTCAAAAGGATGTTAATCTGCTACATCATGGAGGTTGCCCTAATGGATCAGGAGGTCGCCACAGTCTTCAAGAAGAAACCCAAAATTGCTCCTGTGGGATCGGCCAATGATCTCAATCAAATGCTACTGGGCAGGATCGACCCAAGACGTAACACGGTTATGTTCACTCGAGCGGAAGGACAGAAATGTCTCTTCGCTTTAGCTGACAAGCATCTTTACACCACAACCTGTTTGGAGCATGTGTTGTTCATTGTCAAACGGTGTAAAGAGAACTCGGCCGATGATGTCAAGTATTTTGAAGATATGATTAACTGGTACATCCGGTTTAGACAGACCATTCTTTCAATCACCAAATGTCTGTTTAGTACCGTGAAGAAGGTACCGGTTTCAGCTGCTGGCCCAAGTAATTAGTGAAGGTCTTTGCTCCAAATTGACGCAAAGGGGGAGATTGTTGGGCTTTGTAGATTGCGTCTTTTGGGCTCGACTGATTATGCTATTCTGTATTCTGGTTTGGGCCTGTCCAACCGTGAACCTTTTATGTTTTGTATATAAGTTTTCGCTTGCATGCATATTAGGTTAAGGTTTTAGAGATCTGAGAATAGCGATACATCTAGACGACAACAGGTTTCTTTGATCGTTCTTGTAACCTTCCAATCCTCTACAGTTGATGTTCTTAATCGAGCTCTTCTGAGGATTTTGTTTAATCATTCGACACGTTTGATTCAATCTTGTCTCGTTCTTATTATTGTGTTTTTATCATCTTTTTTTACTTACTTGTTCAAGATCTAATCGATATTTATAGATTAAAAGATTGTTAAATCTCATCAGGAAGGAAGGAAAGTTTGAAGGAACAAGGAAGAGTTGCTAGATCCAGAAACCTCATTTCATTTTCATCACTTTATGGTAATCAAGTCTCAAACTTGACTAATGGTTGATTAGATCTCTTTCTTTAGCATCTTTCTCTTTTTTTTTGTCCAAATGATATGGTTCTTGAGAGTTGGATGTTCCAAATGGAAAACACTTCAAATCTAGAGTCTTGAAGGATTTCATGGCATAAAGGTGCCAACTTTATTGCCATAGAAGTCCCATGCAACTTCTAAGCCACCATTTTGGCCTTTGGAGCTTCTTATGGCCATGCATGAGGAAAAAGCTAGGACTTTACACGATCATTTAGTTCCTAGAGTCCATATCTATGATTTAATAGTCCATCTTGTAGTTTTGAGGATGTTGGGATTAAGACTTTGGCCTTTTGGGTTAGGATTTGGACTTAATTCATTTAGGTAAAGGTATTAATGGGTAAAGTTGGAAACTTTACCTTTCTAAATGCATTTTGAGTTGAGATCGGAAGTTTAGGGTTCAGATCTGAAGGATAATGGCTTAATTAGGGATGAGCATCGGAACCGGGTACTCGTTTTTGGAACCGAGACCGCCTCGGAACTGCCGGTTTTGGAACTGGAACCACCTTAAGTGGTTCTAGTTCCAGTTCCTAAAGTTATGGAACCCCCTTAAGCGGTTCCGGTTCCAGTTATTGTTATTTCGGAACCGCTACCCGCTGGGTACCCGCCGAAACCGGTTTATATATATATATATATATATATATATATATATATATATATATATATATATATAATTTATTATAAATATGTGTGTCACTTAGACCGATTTAGAGTATATATTGATCCGATTTTGTCCATCTTTGGTCCGAATTGACTTGATTTGGATCAAACTAAATTGCGGTTTTATCGAAAAAAGTTAGCAAAATTAATGTAACCAGGTTATCCGTTCTCGGAACCGGAACCATCGGTTCCAGGACTGGTTCTAAACATTTAAGAACTACCCAAAGTGGTTCTGGTTTCGGTTCTAACTTTCTAGGAACCGCCGGTTCCGGTTCTAGCCAAATGAGGCGGGTACCTGCCTATGCTCATCCCTAGGCTTAATGAGTTAAGAAGGGGCTAACAAATTGAGGAAATCGACGAGTTCAAGGAAGGACTTTACGAGTTGAAGTGGAGTGTCCCGATTCTATTGAAAGGAAGAACTCGACAAGTTCAATGATGGACTCAACGAGTTGGATCGTGAAATCACAATTATGTGATTCATAAGAACTCGACGAGTTTAATAGTAAACTCAACAAGTTGAGTCAACTCAGAGAATTGACTTTGACTTTGACTTGGATGTTAACTTGACCTTGACCAAGGTTGACCTTGGGAGGGTTATGAAATATGGAATGGATTCAAAAGGGTAAGGCCCATTAGAGGGGTTGGGCCTAATTTAGAAATTGGCCCATTGGTGGGCCATGAATGGGCTTAGGAAGTCTACCTTATATTGGGCCTTTCATGTTATGGTTTTGTGCCTTGGGTATGGACCAAATTTAATCAGGGTTAAAATGATCATTTTACCCTAAGAAGGATTATTAGTTTTGACTAAGTGTTATTTTGGTAATAACAGCTTGGGGAGTTATCAAAGCAGCCATTAGAGATTCCCCATCGTGAGATTCTACATTCAGCTTTGCGAGGTGAGTTTCCTCTTGTTTGAACATGTCAAAGGAACTAATTGCGAACTGTATTTATTTTATGTGTTTCCAGATTACGGTCTAATGTTGGGCGGGGCTCGGGGAAGGTTTATATGTATGATTCCGAACTATGGTTCGATGTTGGGTGGTAGCTGATGACTACGTGCATGATTAGTTATACTTGTTGTTTTTGTGATACTTTTATGTGTTGGGTAGGGAGGTGAGTGTGAGCAGGGGCTCGTATCTCATCACTAGCTAAGTGTGGATAGGGTTCCATATCCCATCATTAGTAGAGTAGGGGTGGGGCCCATGATAGGCGATGCCTTAGGAATAGAACATATAATACTATGTATGATTATTTATGTGCTAGCATGATTAAATGATATTGGTTGTATGTGTATAGCGGACAGGGCCCAGTGACAGGTGGGGCCTGGGAGAAATAGATCTGTATACTGAGCGGGGCTCGATGCCAGGCGAGGCGTGATACCAAACAATATCTGATGTCGGGCGTGGGCCCAATATATGTGATTATGTGTATGATATGTGGTAGTTTGGGGAGACTCACTAAGCTTCATGCTTACGATTTTCAGTTTTGGTTTCAGGTACTTCTGGTAGCAGAGGGAAGAGCTCATGATGACTGCAATGCACACACCACAATGTTTTAGCCTATGATGTTACTCTGATATACATTTGACATATGTTTTTGGTATCGATATACTGATTTTGATGTTTTGAGATATCATGGTTCCTGTTTGATAAATGATTTTCAATAACTATGGTTTATTCAATGATTTAAAAATGAAAGTTTTGGTCATGATTTTGGGATGTTACACAACGTTTATCTTTTTACAGAAAAGCTGTGAATAAGTATGAAAAATAAAGAAAAGATGTAAAATCATTTATATGATGGACAGTTATTACAAAAACTTCAAGTAAATAAACTAATAATGAAGGAGGATTACGAAATGAACGAGGATTACAAAATTTGAAGTAACAACCTAGTTGGAAGAATGAACAGTGTGAATACAAAATCTTTAGTTCTAAATCAACTAAGAATGAACAACGATGACAAAAAATTTGATGTAATCAAGTGATAAGTTTAGAAATGATTACAAATCGTTAAAAATAGAAGAAAAAAAATGCCGATGATAACCTTTCATAGTGAACAGTGACGAAACGGTTTCATTTAGGTTTTCTTCGGAAGACATTTTGTTCGATTTGTTCTTCGCAAGACTGATTTATCGAAAATGGTGATTGAATCCTTTTGCAAATGGTTTTCGTGTTATGGAAACGATGATGTATTTGAAGAGGGAAATTATGATTTTGCTGTCGAGATTTGATTTGTGATAAAATTACCGAAGTGCCTTGGACGGTATAATGTTTTGGATTATTTACAAGTTTGCCACCGTTTGTTTATGTTTTTTAAGGTCATTAAATGATTGGCTGAGAATGGTTCTCCCATTTTCAGCATTTTTTTCTTCATTTGAACACTTCTCTCTCTCTATATATATATATACACACACACACACACACACACATATATATATATATATATATATATAGATGTTGGTTCCCTTGAGATTAATAAAAAATTAGAGATTGTGAGATAGGTGAATAGCTTTTTGTTTTGATGTTATGATCTTTATTTTTAAAATGTAGTTGTGGCATAATTGTAAATACATTGGAAACTTTTGAAATTAACACCGTTAGTAACCATTGTAGGGCTGGTATTGTAACTTTGCATAGAATCATTTCATTTTTGCAGAAACTACGAAACTATAACCGCTTATACTCTTATTTTCTTTATCGATCAAAATCTCACTTAGAAACTCTCAGATAACCCTCTTTTTCTTTCTTTATTGCATTTTCCCCTAGTTTTCGTTTGTTAGTTGTACAAATTAAGTTTGAAAAATCAGTAAATGTCTTCAGGAGAAAATAAACGAAATCGCTTTTTCGTTGATCGAAATGAAAGGTTAGAATGCGAATAATTTTTCAGTATATTGATAATGCGTGTTTCTTTTAATTATTTAACTGTAGTTTTATATTAATAATGATGATTTTTGTTTTGATTCAGTAGTTTTTTCATCATTTTACTTGATTTTGATGATTTTCTCGTTTACAGTTAATCTATTTTTTATTATGTTTGTTTGTGGTGGTTTTTGATGTAAGTATTTGTTTATATTTTTTTTATAGACAAGAATTTCAAAAGAAACTATGTTCGAAAAAAGTTCAAAAATCAAAATAATCTCGTAAGCAGTAGGAGTGGTGTTATTTTCGAAGGAACGATTCAAGAAATCGACGTTGAAAGAGGTTTCTGTGATATTTTTTGTCGCATTTTCTTTTATTTTTTTTTATTCATAATTGATTATCATATTTTGTGATTATGTATTTCTATGTATCAAACGTGAATATGAAGATGTTTATGGAGAAGTTAAAGAGAAGATTTCAAAAAGAAGAAATGTTAAGGTATTTGTTGTAATCATAACCAATTTTGTGATTTTTTTTCCAAGTGGATTGAACATAATATTAAGTTGAATGTTCATTTCTAATTCTAATCATAAATGATTTTATATGTTTTTTTTTTATAATCGTTACTAAATAGTAATGGTAAATGTATGTTTTTATAATCATTAGTGATTGTGTGATTTTGAAATCATAGTTTATTAGTATATGCATTTTTGTTCTGTATTAATTACTAATGATGTTAATTTTTTTGTAGTAAATGGTTGTGTTTATGAGAAGGAAAGTGAAGATATTTTAGAGAAAAATTCCAAGGTTAAAATTGATAAAGGTATGTTTTTGCAATCATAAGTGGTTAAGTTTCTTCATTTGTAACTAAGTATATGTATTATGTTTTCTTTTTTACTAACACTATTTTTTCTAATAAAATTTGTAGTTAAAAAAGGTAATTTAGAGAGCTCAAGGCAGACACGATCATCTTCCAAAAAAGAAATGGCCAAGAAGGTGGTGCAAAGACAGTCAAAGAAATCTAAAACAACAGTTATTGAACAACCAAAAGAGAACCTAACTGTTAAGGGAAAAAAATTAGTTTTTGAGAATGTCAAAACTATAAGTAAGAAACGTGAACTATCTGATGAAGATGATTCTAATTTTCAGAGTCTTCCCGGATGTTCAAAGAAACCATAGAGAGAAGATAAATTTTTGAAGAAAGAGAAAAAAGTTGCCGTTATAAAAGAATTTCCTTCATTGAAAAACAGATGTTCACCCGAGTCATTGTTGGGTGCTATTCAAGGTTTAAGTAGATAACATAAGGATTGTGTTAGGGCTATGGGATTTGGGATTTTGTTAAAGATGATTGACGTACTGTTAAAGATTATTTATTATGTTCTTGATCATTTTAATTTTGAAACATTGAAGGTGGAGTTTGAGAATTATCAAGTTAGTGTTGATAGTAAATCTGTTCATGAGATGTTAGAATTACCATCTGGTGGCTCGTTACTTTCAAACATGGATTACATTTCCGAGAATAATGAAGAGAGCTGTATCTTTGAGTGGAAAAAACAGTATGAAAATATTGATAAATTGAGATTGAAACAGCTAAAGAATGAACATGTTCGAACTAGTGCAACGGATGATAACTTTAGAATCAATTTTTTGGTTCTTTTTATTAATACATTCTGTGAGTCTACAAGCATGGGTAAATGTAATCTGAATCCATTGTATTTAATCTAAAGAAATACTAATTTAAGTAGTATTGATTGGTGCGATTTCATTGTCGATCGTTTGGTAAGGACAAAGAGTGTTTACAACCCAAAGAAAGAATCTTCTTTCTTTTATGGACCAACAACATACCTTATGGCACGTGAACCACTTTTTAATATTAAATCTTCTTTTTAGTTGTAAGAATATGTTGGTTTTTATTTTTAAGCGTATATGATTATATAATCATATATGTTTAATTATATGTCAAACAACATAATCATATATGATTATTCATATTAATATGATTAATGATATATTTGATTTATATAAATCACATATGATTGTATAATCATATATGATTATATAGTCTAATTTTATTTAATTATATATTACACATCATAATCATATATGATTAGTCATATATATTATGATTAATTATATATCACACAACATAATCATATACGATTATTCATATATATTATGATTAATGATATACTTGATTTGTATTAATCATATATGATTGTATAATCATATATGATTATCTAATTTTTGTTTATTATATATTACACATCATAATCATATATAATTATTCATATATATTATGATTAATGATATATTAATTTGTATAAGTAAATCTTTTTAGAAATGTAACTTATTTGTTATATATGTTTTTTTGTAATTTTTGTATGTGGATAGTTTCAAGTTTGATCATTTGCAAGTCACACGTAAACGTCCAACTATTTTTTATTGGACATCCGAGAAGATAAGGTTTCTTGAGGCTATTTTACAAGAGAATGGAGGATTTGAATGTGGAGATGTTAAAGAACGATATGTTGAAGAAGAATGTGAATAATATGAGTATAATGAGGAGGAATCTGGTGGTGATGAGGATGAATTTGATGGCGATGAGGATTTATGTGATGAGGATGAAGAAGAGTTTGATGTTAATAAAGTTAGTGCCATGGAGGTAATTTTATAGTTTTATTCAGTTATTTTATTAGTCTTTTCATTTATGACTTTTTATGATTAAGTATATTTTTTCTTATGTAGGTGTATAAAAGTAAAATTTCATACATGTATTAAAAGATGGAGGATTTGAAAAAGGATATTGTTGTAAAGATAGATAAGGGAGTGTTGAATTTTCCTCAAAGTCAAAATTTGAAAAATCGGAAATTGTTATTTCCTGTTGAAGATTTAAGCATAGAAAGTTCTGATTTCCATTATGCTTCGCGTGTGATACATGTTCCTTCGATTTCTCCAAGCAAAGCTTTTCGCATAGCAATGCCTATTGTGTCTGCTTGACCTTTCATAAGCGAAGATAGAATAAAGCGCCATAAAGAAGACACCTACTATCTGCTGCTGATTCAACACACTTCCACTGTGGTGTCCGAGTAGATACTGTTATTTTCTATCGAACCATAATAATATTATTTGATCAAATCAGTGAATCATTTATTTCTCTTGTTTCTCTTGCTATTGAAATATCTTCAACTTTTATTTCTACACATGTCTTTTTTTGGGGATCTACAACCATTATGTGGCATAGGGGTTACACCCCGTATGAAAGTTAATAGTATATCACTTTTGCGAATAGCTCGTAATGTTGCTTCTCTTCCGAGACCGGGACCTTTAATCATGACTTCCGCTCGTTGCATACCTTGATCTAGTATTGCACGAATAGCATTTCCTACTGCGGTTTGAGCAACAAATAACATCCCTCTTCTTGTACCTCGGAAGCCACAAATACCGGCAGAGGACTAAGAAATCACTTGCCCCCATACATCTGTAACGGTCACAATGGTATTATTGAAACTTGCTTGAATATGAATAACCTCCTTTGCTATTTTACGTGTACTCTTACGTGAACCAATATGTCCACGTGAACCTTTTTTCGGTATAGCTTTTGCCATATTTAATCAACTCATAAATTTGAGTCAGAGATATATGGATATATCAATTTCATGTCAAAACAGACGCCCTTCTTATTTTTATATTGGGTCTTTAACAAGGCTGATTATCCTCGTCTTTGTTTATGTCTTGGGTTGGGACAAATTACTCTAATTCATCCCTGATGACGGATTAATCGACATTTTTCAGAAATTTTACGAACAGAAGCTCTTATTTTCATATTTCCCACTCCTTTATTTAATATTGAAACCACTTTTCGAAAGAAAATAAGTTTCTTGAAATTTTCTATTTTGAATCGTATTCCTACGAAATAAATAGTGAAGTTGAAAAAACACCTACTCTTTTGAATATTTGTTTCAGCGTCGGTAAATTATACGGCCTCTGGTTGAATCATAACGACTTACTTCAATTTTGACTCTATATCCTGGCAGTATCTATATAAAACTACGTCAGATCTTTCCTGAAACATAACCTAGAATCATATCTTCATGAATCCATTTTTGTTCTTTCATTACAGGTAAAACCCCCTTGAAGTATCAACTAGTGGAGGAAGAACCCTATTAGACAACCCACCCATTCTCTTTTCTTTTTCACAAATAAGAAGTTTCATATTGAATTCGGATATTAGCAGGATTACCATATATCACACAAAATTTCTCCGCCTATTCTTTCTAGTCGAGCCTCTCGGTCTGTCATTATACCCTGAGAGGTAGAAAGAATTACAATCCCTATCCCCTAAAATTCTAGGAATTCTTTGATAGTTAGAATAGATTCATAGACTCGACCGACTGATCCGTTTTAAATTTAAAAGATTTATATAAGTCTTTTTCCTATTCCATCTATGTTGTAAGGTTAAAACCAAAAATGATTTTTTGTTTTCTCGATGTTTTCTCATGTTTTCGATAAAGCCCTCTCATAAAAGTATTTTAACAATACTTTGGCTATTTCACAACAAAGTAAAGAACTGATACTGACACCTGCTTTTGTTCAAGTTAATGATGACGAAAAAATCACAGAAGAAAATCATGATGAAGATTATGGGAATGATTTTCTGAATGATCATGAAAATGTTGAAGATGATGATCAAGGGAAATGTTGTGGTGCTCATGGGATTGAAGTGGTCCATATTAGGACAATATTGGTAAAAATGATGTTGAAGGTAAATGTGATGTTAATGATCATGCATATGAGGACGATATTGGTAAAAATAAAGATTTGTTGGATGAGAAAGACAATGAAGATGATGAATAAGGAAATCGAAGTGGATTCAATTAAGAAAGAGGCCAACAATTTTAATTTTTTTTGTCGAAAATGTTAGTAATAGTGTTGGTCTAATTGATTGCCAGGAAGGTGTATATTTTAGTCAATTCATGTGCGACCTAGTTGTTGAAAGTTTTCATAAAACTTTGGATCAAGGTAAGCATATGTTTTTAGTATATTTAGTTTAATCATATATGATTTTAATTTTTTATATTTGAGTTTTATAGGTACTGAAAACTTGGTTGATGGTTGTCTAAATCAGAAATGAGTTGAAGATCGTGTGAATGCCAATTTGACTGGTTTTAAGAAAAATGAATTTGATGACGGTAAGTATTTATTTATGTATTTTTTATACATAATATATATATATATATATATATATATATATATATATATATATATATATATATATATATATATATATATATATATATATATATATATATGAAATATGTTCTATAGTTGATTCACTTATGATATTAATAATTTAGGGACTGTAAATTTGGGTGAGGATGATCATAAGAAAGAAGTAATTTAAAATCATATTGTTGATAAAGTTATTGTAGAAAAGAAGAAAGATGATGAATTAATTCATCCAAGTTTACTGAAAGGTTTTGCTGAAGTGTTAGTTGAAATATCTAAACCAAAGAAGGATGGAGAAGTTATGGTAAGGGGGAAGGTGTTGAAGTTGATTCAAATTTAGGAAAGCAATAGAAGATTGTTCAATTAAAAATAAAGATGGAGATAATTAGTTTATATTTATTGTTATTCCTATATAATTGTGTTTATAATTGTTGTGTATTCATATATGATTTTTATAAATTTTTTTTGGGCAGAAACTGCTAAAGAAGGTTTACAAATTACACAATGAAATGATTTAAATGAGAGTAATCATTGAAAATGACAATGTAGATGGGAGAGTTGAGAAGTTCTCTTGTCCAAGTTTTGGTCTTGGATTTAGTCTAGATTAAGGTTCCAAAAAGGCATCTCAAAGTCAAAGTTCTCCTGAACGGACGACTAAGAAATAGATTAAGGATAGAGTTTATTAGGGAAAACCATGTGGTGGGCCAGAGTGTATTGTTCCAAATGTTGATGTTATTGATGCTAGTCCAGTTTCTTTTGCACCCCTTATGGGTACATTAGAAGGACCATCAAAACCAATTTCCAACCATGCTAGAGTGATAAATGAGAAAATTCCAACTAAAGCAAAGTCTAACAAACCTAAATATATAAATGAAGAAGGAACATCATAAGTAGATGTCAAAGGAAAAAGAGAAATGAAGTTTTCTTATGTTTATAAGTCACCTTTTAAGGAAAGGTTAATTGATTTTAAACCAAGTTTGACACAAGTAGAAAATGTTTTTTTTCCAGTCTTCAAGGAAATCCAGGGTAATTTTTTTTAAATATAATTTTTTATTCTTATTCTTATAATTTTTTATTTTTAATAACATTTAAATAAATATCTATAGTGATATGGTCTTGCTTATGGAATCATATCTTATGAGTTTTAGAGTTGATTATGAAAGTCTTTCTAAATTCGTTATATATATATATATATATATATATATATATATATATATATATATATATATATATATATATATATATATATATATTGTGACAACCCGAAGTTGTTCCATCGTCGTAACCCGTTCCGCCCGTAAAACCCGTCTTTAGTAATCCGTTACGATTTCGTTTTTGGGCTAAGTTATTTAAATTTATATGTTTATTATAATCTCATGAGTGTCCAAAATCCCTAAAAACTCATGTAAATGGCCCAAATTATTAATTTGAATATTTTTAGAATTGGTCCCGCCGGGTTACGACAACTTAATCGAGTGCGACCAAAAGCCCCATCTAACGTCGGTATCGGGTAGAATTCCACTGTGTCCCAAACCCGAACCATATATAAAATTCATTAAGCCTCATTTGAAGCTTTTTCACTCTATCTCTAACCTCTCTCCTCAAATCCACACTCTATGTCCAAAATCATCAAATTAAGGCTCCAAATCATCAAGGTAACTATCCTAGCTCCTAGTATAACATCTTTAGCCTTCATTTTCGTGTTCAAATCATGGATTAGGACAATAAACATGTGTTTACAGCCCTGGAACACTCTTGGGCCGTGAACACATATAAAATGGGTTTTGGAGCCCAAAAACCAGTCCAAACCACATTTGGAGCTTAGATATGACTTAGGGGCTTACCAAACTGGACTTAGAACACCTTGAACTCATCATTTAAGGAGTAAACATGAGTTTACTGCCCAAGAACATGCTTGGGCCGTAAACATCCATTCATGGGTAAGAAACTCCTTCTAAGGTGTTAAATTGTCGTTTAAACACACCAATAGCCTTGAATTAAAGTCTAGAAGCAACCGCAAACAAGTTAGTGGCGTTAAACTTAATGAAAACCACCCCCATAGGAGCTTACGGCCGTAAACGCCCCAAGGATGGGTTCCTGGGCTGTAAACTCCTATAACTTAGTCAAATGGTACCTTAAATTCATTCTATGGCTTCTAGATTTAGCTATGAACACTTGTAAATGACCTAGGACCACCAAAACATCAAAGGAAGGTGTGTGGGGGAGCTTATAGCCATAAAATCTTAGTTTACTACCCTAAACTCCATTAAATGGTCCATATGTGAGTTTAATCCATTCCTATACCTTAGATTTAATCCTAGCTAATTTCCCCAAGTGATATTTAACCATTTAGCACCATAAAACCCCTCATCCATGAGTTCACGGCCTTGAACTCATGTGGAGTTGGTATTAGGGACGAAAAATCCATAAGGAGTTTACTCTTGAAGAGTAAACACATTATCCAAGCCATATGCGTCCGTATATGTCACCCGGGTCACTCCAAACACTTGATTTGAAGTGTTTTCGCATCTTGGAGTGTATAATCATATCTAATTAGTGATTTAAAGTCTAATTAGATACATTTGTATATCATTTCACATTACATAGGAACCTCTCACGTTATCAAGCCCCGAACTGACACTTAGCATCCAATCCGACACTCTTCTCGACCGGTGAGTTCATACCCCTACCCTTTTTCAAATGTTTTCAGGGGGGATACAAGCAAAAGTACAAGGAAATCTTGTACTAAAATTTATCATTTCAGTTCAACTGTTTATACTCTGAATGTTTTTAATATAAAAAACTGTGTTAACCAATAATTCGAATTACAGAGTTAGCTTTCAGACTAATCATAGATTTCTTGATAAAGTGTTACAATCTATGTTATATTTCATAATTCACGAATAATTCATACTAATCATCAATTAGAACTAATACGAATACGAATACGAAAATACAACTAGGAACAAAACGAATACGAAAATACAACTAGGAACACAATGAATACAAAAGTACAGCTAGCAACAGAACGAATACGAAAATACAGCTAGGAATAGAGCAAATACGAAAGTACAACTAGGAACAGAACGAATACAAAAGTACAACTAGGAATAGAATGAATACGAAAATACAGCTAGGAACAGAGCGAATACGAAAGTACAACTAGGAACAGAACGAATACGAAAATACAGCTAGGAACAGAGCGAATACGAAAGTACAGCTAGGAACAGAACGAATACAAAAATACAGCTAGGAACAGATCGAATATGAAAGTACAACTCGGAACAGTACGAATACGAAAGTACAACTAGGAACATAACGAATACGAAAATACAGCTAGGAACAGAACGAATACGAAAGTACAACTAGGAACAGGACGAATACGAAAATACAACTAGTAATAGAACGAATACGAAAGTAAAGCTAGGAACAGAACAAATACCAAAGTAATAATACGAATACGAATATGAATAAGAACACAAATAGGAATAGGAGTAGGAATAGGAATAGGAATACGACTACGAATACGAATGCGAATGCGAATGCGAATACGAATACAAATACGAATAGGAATGCAAATATAAATATGAATATGAATACAAATATAAATACGAATATGAATATGAATATGATTAAGAATAGGAATACGTATATGAAGGCACGCATCTAGATACGTTCAAGTGTAGCATAACTAGGATATCAGAATACCTATCTAATATAACAAGTATGATAGATAATCAAACATTACATTGGGATTCAATAACTAAACTTTACTTTTAGGAAAATAAGGCTTTTTCCTGGGATAACAACTGTACATAACCAGAATCGTGTAACAAAACAGTGAACTAAACTTTACGTATAAGAAAATATGGGATTTTCTTGGATAACAAACATTTTCGGAAAACCAAAGGAAACTTGTACATTTTCAGAAAACAAACCTCTTATGAACTCACCAGCTTTATGCTGATTTTCAAACTGCTTGTATTCTCAGGTCCATATTAGACAGGTACCCACGATCTTTTGGAGAAGCGGAGCATACAGAAGACTCTTCTTAACTTTTGTTCATATAATATATGTATAACCTTTGTAACACTTCGCTTTCAAACAAATGTAATTATTTCGTATATAATGTAATGTTTTGTGATTACTATGATTAATATGCACATTGGTCGTGATACTTAACATGAAGTCACCTCCGCCCCGGAACGTTTCCGCCTTCGGTTTCGGGGTGTGACAGATTAGTATCAGAGCCCTTGTTTATAGTGAATAAAGTATACCAAACCTTACATGGTATAAAACTATAAACACTAAGGGGCCTAAGTGCTCTGAACTAAAAGTATACTTCAAGGTATAATTATTTTCAAAAGTATACAAGTATACCTAACTGTCGAGATCCGTAACTACAAGTAGAACAAAACATAAGTAAATGGGTGTTGTGCGCTGCGGCTAAACCTGGGCAGTTATGTATTCGTGTCTATGATCAATATAGCCTGGCCAACTATATTCATTTGAGACACGTCCAACATGTGCTTGGGAGTACCTGTGGTGTTCAACATGCCTAAAACCTACCCTAATACCCCAAACATCGAACCATGGTCGTAGCGAATCATGAAATACTATGGGAGTATTTCTCGAGCCAATCCTTTGTACAAATCCTCATTTAGGTGTTGCTCCTTGAACATTACTCTAGCGATAAATTTACTGCTTTGATAACTCTTTCCTGCTTTATCGCTTATTCGGAATATATATATGTCATATCTCTTGATTCAATTCGGAGGACTTATCATCCTCTCTTTCCTAATCTTATTAGATCAAGATGCCTCCAAGAAAGAGACCCAACTCAAAGATCAACAACCCTCCGCCACCACCTTCTCCTCAAACGCTTCAGGAAATTGTTACTGCCGC